CCAGGCTGGCACACTTGGACTCCGTGTCCAGGCTGGCACACTTGGACTCCGTGCCCAGGCTGGCACACTTGGACTCCGTGCCCAGAGAGCAAGCCCTCTAGCATGAAGTTCACAGCCGTGGCTTCATTTCCAGCAGGTTCTATGCTGGAGGAAGTCACGCAGCCAAGTCCAGACACAGGGCTCAGAAGCCAACTGACTTCTTGAAGACAGAAATGACAATGCGAAATTGACGCACAGAGCTCGGGGATCCCCGACATTTCCAGACAGCCCGCCCTGTTTTGAGGATGACTGCCATTGGGTTTTGAAGGCTAGCTAAGAGTTCGCGGGACTAGTTTTGTCCCCGGGTTTGATTGCTTGAGTGTGTGCCAAGAAAAAGTGGGCAGCCGGTGCCGGGCAGAGCTTAGGGAAGGCGCCCGCGCCCCACTCGGTCCCCGGCCGCCCTGACTGTGCTCCCCCTTTCCACAGATGGCGCGCCCGATCCAGGTGAAGCCGGCGGACAGTGAGAGCCGTGGAGGTAGTAGTAATCTCCCCGTGGCCGTGGCCTCTGCAGCAGGTCCTGTCCGCAGCCTCGGGGTCGGGGCTCCGGCTGCTCCCCCAGACTTCAGACACCCCACACCCTTCCCGTTCCCTCACGGGTGCCCGGAGGCTGCAGACTTGGGATGTGGGGAGAGGTGTGGGCAAGGCTGTGGGGACCTCGTGTACATGTAGGAGCTCGGCTGTGGGTCGGGACAGGAAGTAGACCCCCCTGGAGCGCGCTCTCTCTCCCCTGATCCTGACTGTCCCCGAGTCTCTCCCTCCCTAACGCCCCCTCAGTGTCTCTGCTTCCCTTCCCCATCAACCCCGGGCAGCAGGGCGGCCTGAGCCAAGGTCCTGGGGCAGCTCAGGTCAGGGCCGGGGGTCTGCGGGGCTAGCGCGGGCTCAGCGGGGCCGTGGGCCGGGGCTCCGCCCACAGGGGACCGGAAGCTGTTCGTGGGCATGCTCAACAAGCAGCAGTCGGAGGAAGACGTGCTCAGGCTCTTCCAGCCCTTTGGCGTCATCGACGAATGCACAGTGCTGCGCGGACCCGACGGGAGCAGCAAAGGTGATTGGCACGCGGTGGGGCGGAGCCTCGCGGAGGGGAGGGGCTTGGAGGGCCCACGGGTGGGCGGGGCTACCATGGGGGAGGGCGGGGCTTAGGTGGCTCCTGGGGCGGGGCTTCAGTCTTGCAGAGGGAGTAGCAGAGCGGGTGATGGGTGGGACTTTAGGAAGAGACAGGCCTGAGGTGGGCGTGGCCTGTGGGAAGGCGTAGAGCGGGAGGGGTGGGTCAGGAGGTGATGGCAGGGACCGCAGGGAGGCTGAGGTTGCACCAGGGACTGATCATTCTTGAGGATTTTTTCTTTCTTTTTCTTTTTTAATTTATTTATTATGTATACAGCATGTATGATTGCAGGCCAGAAGAGGGCGCCAGATCTCATCACAGATGGCTGTGAGCCACCATGTGGGTGCTGGGAACTGAACTCAGGACCTCTGGAAGAGCAGCCAGTGCTCTAACCGCTGAGCCGTCTCTCCAGACCTTGAGGATTTTCATATCCTAGTCCTGAAGTGGAGGGAGGAGAGCAGATAGGCTTGAGGGTGGGGAGAGGAGCCGTGCACAAGGCTGTCATCGGGACCCCTGCAGTAATGTCGGAGCTTGGTAACGCCGGCCTGGCTCTTAGTCCCTGTCACTCCCTGTTTTAACAATAGCTTGGAAAAGAGAGGGGCTGGAGGGGCCGGCTGCGGAGACGGGTCAGGTCTGTGGGAGGGCGGGGTCATCCCTGGCCCCACCTGAGTGTCTGTTTAGTTGGGGCTGTCGTGTCCCCGCAGATTGGTCCTCGGGACCATGGCCCGAGCCTCTCGGCTTCTCTCAGGTCCTGAGTGTCTCAAGTTCTGTCTGTCTTCAAGTGTCTGTCTGTCCATCTGTATAACTGGCAAACTGGTCCCGCCCTGGATCCATGGTATATGACCCTGGCTGGGGGTGCATCTGCCTCGGTGGCCACCACATGACTTTGTGTATCCGTCTGTCTGACCAGCTGCCATGATCCACAGGTCCCAGTTCACCCTCTGCACCCTGGAGGTCAGAGCTGGTGACTGACTCTTCAAACCTTTGTCTCGGTCGTTCTAATGGGAACTTCTGAGAGTGTGTGTGACCGTCAGGGTCTCAACACAGTCGCTGGCAGCTGACCTGACTTCCTGCTGGCTGACCACATGGACAGACAGATGGATGGGTGGATGGATGGATGGACGGGTGGGTGGATGGATGGATGGATGGATGGATGGATGGATGGATGGATGGGTGGATGGATGGATGGGTAGACGGACAGATGGGTGGATGGGTGGATGGGCGGACGGACAGACAGATGGGTGAGTGGATGGATGGATGGATGGATAGACTGATGGACGGGTGGGTGGGTGGATGGATGGATGGACGGACGGGTGGGTAGATGGATGGATGGATGGACAGATGAATAGGTGGATGGATGGATGGATGAACGGATAGACGGACAGATTGATGAATGGACAGAGGGATGGACAGATGGGTGGGTGGATGGATTGGGTGGGTGGATGAATGGATAGAGGGACAGACAGACCGACAGATTAGTGGGTAGGTGGGTAGAGAGACGGATGAAAATGTGGGCAGGCAGGTGGAGGTAGATGACTGACTTTTATCTATTTGGCTGAATTCATTGCTGACATTACGTCTGTCGCTGGAAGATGGCGTGTGTCTTGTCTGTCCAGGCCACCCTGGCCTCCCCATGTCTGGGTGAACTCGTGTCTCCTGTCTTTCGTGAGTCCCCTTTATCCCCACCCTCTGCATCCTTCGGTCTGTCCTCACCTCTACCTCCCTCTCCCCCAGGCTGTGCCTTCGTGAAGTTTTCCTCCCACACAGAGGCCCAGGCGGCCATCCACGCCCTGCATGGCAGCCAGACCATGCCGGTGAGTGAGAACCGCCCTGCGGCGGGGGCGGGGGGAGTGAGACCTG